ATTGACTTAAGGGACTAATTTGATAGTGGGAATATCATCTGTAGTTTACAGTATTTTCTATTACTTTATTATTTTAACATTTTCCATGAATCTCAATTAATAATTACATAGCAATACACCTTCTACTTTGAAAAAAATATAGAAACAAAAATGTAATTTTTCATATTCAAGGAAATTTTAAGACCATAAAAATATAGCTTACTGAATTTGTCATAAATGCTCTATAATACTATGTAGAAAAACATAGGCCTTATGGAAAAAATATTCAAATACCCTTTGAAAAGATGTTCTATTTACTTATACATAAGTAGTAAATATCCTTTTGAATCAAATAATTCTATCAAAGACAATTTTCCTTACTCTTATGAGCAATGGTGATATTTTATGTGCAAGAGATAAACAGACCAGACTGCACTGTATAACAAAATAAAAACTGTACTTGAGATAATAAGTTCAATAATAATGACATATTCATAAACTTTCGTTCTATTTTTTTTGTACAGGACTTATTCGTAAATAGATAATTTTACCTTTTGTATATATAATTTTTTAATTGTTTTTAAGGAATGGAATCTAAGTGTATTTTCTGTTAAAAGTTTAACCGAGGATGTTATTTAGGTGTGCCCGTTACCGAAAGTTGGTGTTGGTCTAAGTGTAAATGCAGTTGGTAATTTTAAATCGATCTGTCATAGAAGAAGGTTACCATGTTTTCTTAATTAATTACCGAACTGCCATACCTAATATGTGTTGTTTTGAAAGAATCAGATGAAAAGGTTGAGACACGTCACCACCAAGAGTAAATGTATCCCATGTAATGTGATTAAAGCCAGTGTTTTTAATATCCTCAATAGGATTAATGTTCAAACAGCAACCACCAAAAAGTGACGGCCATATTCCTGTTTGCGATAGTATTTTTTGTATCCATCGTATGAAGGTTCCTTCATTTTCAGGTATGTGTTCTATGAACAAATATTGACCACCCTAAAACAAATAATAATTCAACTCAGGTTATTTATAAGTTTATGTATGTATGTATATAAAATTTTATCATTTAAGTTTTCTCTAATTAAAACATATTATGAATAAACTATTGGTAAATATCTTGTGTGGTATGAATAAAAAATGTGTCATAAATTTTGTTTTGTTATACTAAAGTACGTATACAAAATTTAAGATTATAAATACAGTTAACATTAATAAAAGGGTCATGGTACAGACAACGTACAGGATAGATCTTACATCTTACTGGATTTTTTGTCCGGGGTTTTGGGGCCGAGAAGACCCTTACCATTTTGGTGTCGCTATCAACGTTACCGATTCAGTATAGAATAAGATTACAACATTAGTAGTGGTTGGAATTGGAATTAAACGTAATTATGAAATTACAAATAAGAATTATTAGTAGGTGATTCATCCTATGCGCGTGTTCTCTGTCAAAAGGTCGTGAACAGTTTTAACTACTCAATCCAATATATATTTGTATCTTTATATGTGGATTTACCACAAGAGATAATTTTTTACATCTGTCCACTTTACCATCTGTGATGGTTGGTTTGAATATATTTCCTAAATTTTCCGCTCTAAAACGTAAGGGGCATAACAAAACCTCTGATTTTTTTACATAATCAGTATTTCAAAATGTGAGACACAAAATTCCATAAGGTGATTGGTCTATCCTGTACTTTGTCTGTGGTTTAATCCATCTTGCTCTACAGATAACAATATCGATTTAATACAGCAACGTTCTTCCAATGAAAATGAGTCCAAAGACGATATAAATCGGACTAATGGTAACAGTAACCAGTTTTAAAAGCACCCTGAACTGATTAATAGTGTAAATGTCACTGTAATAGCCAGAATTCTGGAAAAGTTACAATTTGAACGTAACAATCTGTGTTTCTGGATTTTTACCGATTTATATCGGTCTAACTTAAGATTTACCACTGGTACCTCTGACCTTCTGCTCTTAGGTAGGTTAAGCTTTTTTTTTTTGTAACCTAACCTAGCCTGACATTCTGCACTTAGGTAGTTACCATAGCTCAGTAGTAAATCTTAAGATTTGCCAATTAATTTCGGTAAAAGCACGAAATAAATATTGATTTCATATTTACATAAACATCGGTTAGTAAGTGTTAGGATTTCCTCATAAATTTTAACATTTACCGACGTTCAGGCTTTTACGGTAACACAGACGAATGACGAACAATGCCGAATTATCGGAATTCACCTGTACCTACTTGAAATTTTTTATCGGTATGTTAGTGCAATTTAGTATCATTCAGTGGCGGCTCGTAAGAATTTGTAGCGGCGGGGCTGTAGCAATGACAGTAAAATAGATCAATATGGATTGAAAAAATTGTATCATCGATAAAACTAAAGGTAATTATTTAGAAAGTGGACGGTTTCACCTATTTCGATGATATTTACCCTTTGAGGTCGATAGAGTCATATATGCATTCACAAAATACCACGAACGCAACCAATAAATTTACATTTTTAAGCAATAAAAATAGTGATATTAAGTAATTAAGCGAATAAGCAAAGTTAAGCAATAGAAAAGAGTGATTATGAATTCATGTATCTACGTATATTTGAGGAAAATGTAATTTTGATATAATTCACTTCGAAAAAAAAAAAGAACTGAAATAACGACCAGTATAGTATAGTAATCAGTACTTCGACATGGCACATAGTCCTCCGTCCGCAAAGGGTTAAATATGTTGCAAAAATCAACATTATAAATCACCAATATGTATAAATTAATAGATAATAAAGCAGCAAGTTTCATTTTATGCTGAAGGGGCTGCAGCCCCTGTGGACGAGCCACCCCACTGGTATCACTTAATACTCTAATTATTTTACCGGTGTTAGCACTCTGTGTATCTCTCGAAGCGTCGATTGTATGGATGTTACTGAACATAACGTTCTTGTTGTCACCACCACGTCTACACATGCCGTAGGCACTTCTTTCAGCGAACTACCGTCACCGACTATTACACGTTCAATAATGACGCGCGAAAACGGCCAGAAACGGTGTCCCGTTGTTAGATACTCTCCTAATCTCACATTTCGGTCGACGCCAATCCAACGTGTATTTTCTGGATAAAATTGTATATTTTCACCTGTAATATATACAAATGAAATAATTAATTGAAACGATAAACTTGATCAAGGCAGTGTCTATCGTAGCAAATAACAGACTAATATCTAATTTTTATTTCGCGTTTCATGAAAACTTACGTTTACTTGTCAATTCTTATTTTAATATATTTGTCATGGATGCAGTTGTGTAATATTAATGCGTACAATTGTTATTAAAATGTTTGTATAAATTTAACGTATTACTTTTAATCATATAAAATAGTAACTGCGATATTTAATAATTAAGTATGTTTATTTTCAATCATTTATGTTTCATCTAATACACAGTGCTGAACAATAGCGAATAAAAATGAAGTTTATCTTGACTTTTGGAACTAATTCCAGTACAGATCTGTAAAACCGTCTGTTTTCACACAATTTTTAAAAAATAAGTAGTATAATACGTATTTCACGATAAATATAAAAAAGAACTTGAGAGTATACTCGAGAACCAGAAGAGACCGCCTCAAAATTCAAAGCGTGTGTTACTTAGAAATATACCCTCTACAATATAAGCCACTCAGAAGCCAAAACGATTATCTCCGCTTTTCGATATTCTTCAAATTTTAGTCCCAAAGCACATGCTTGGGCTTAATTTTTCACAAATTGGACAAATTTGGTAAATTTTATTTTACGGAGTTAGTCACTTTGGCTTCTCGAGTGGCTCGTATGTGAAACGAAAAAAATGATCCGTGCTGCGTAAGCTTTTGTCCCACTTTAGCCATCGCGTCCATTATCCAAAATAGAGGTGAAAAATTAACTACCTGGCAAACTGTACACGACGTCATATCGTTCGTCGATAATTAAAAGGAAGAAGCAAACTGGGTATTTTAAAAGGGGCGTTACAGCGTTACAATTAAAAAAATCTACATATTACATTCAATGCACACCCGTCTTAACACCAATCTCAAGTAAACGTATGCAACCCATGGACTGCAATACTTTGTCACATGAAACGACATGTTCTAGCGGTTTAAACAACTGCTTTTTGTAAGCTCGAGACAATTCTGCGCACTCTACTTCGAATCCTGTTAAATACGCTTTGTAAATGCTCTTTTGTAGACTCGACCATTTTCGTAATAGTAGAATTATCACGAGGACGAGTACGGCCGATAGTAATCCATAACTTGTAATCACGTCGCGCATCCACACGTCGCTGTTGCTCATTTTCCTTCGCGCGAGAAACACTTGTTGACAATTTTCGTAATTTTTATCTTCGTTAATAAACGAGTAACAAGGTCGGATGGACTACGACGACTTAGCTTCGCTTCTGTTTCGAAACTTTTTGCAATAAACAGGCGTAGTAACTTTCGAGAAGTGTTCGAGACATGCGTACACTTCGACACGACTGGTTTCACTGAAATGGAATAAACACCGCTTGCTTAATCACACGTGATAAGATAAATATTGCAGCTATATTTTTCGAGTGGTTAATATTCCATGAAAATAAACGTTATTCTAACAAGCTTAATTGAATAGTTTGCTGAGGTTGCATTTAACGATGTTGACAGCTTTTAGATTACACCGTAGAATTCTGTCCTATTTTTCAAAATCGTTTGAGTATGTATGTAACACACTGCATTATGTTTGCACCGAATTGTTCTTTTGAAGATTTTCTTATTTGTCTACCGATCATCGCGTCTGTAATGGATACTGAATTGAGATTAATTTTAACTAAATTGACACTGGTTACGAGAGGGTTAATACGCGTACAATTATTGTTAGATAAAATATGCAAAATACATGAAAGTAACGTTACAATCTCAATTATACTACGCTATGGTATATTTATCTATGGATTACTGTTGTTTACGTGCCTGAAGAGATTCTAACGTTATTCTCTCGTGCGTTTTGCATATTTTGATATATTACAAAATAAGTGGAAGTAAATGTATTTACTACTATTTTCATCTCACCCCTTAACGTATGATTTTTCTGCTGATTACGCATCTAAGTATCAGCTATTTATTGTTTCAGTACTGTATTAGATAAGAAAAGCTGATGTATTATGGATTAATTACATTTGGTAACACTCAGTTTTATAAATTGAGGCGAAAGATAGAATGAAAATGAAGTTTTGTAACTAATACAACTGTTTTTGTCGCATTTTGACCAGATCTGTGCCACGAGTATGAGGGTTGTCATACAGCAAGGGGTCAATATTTTTTTATTTTAAAGCGAAATAAAAAATGTTTTACTGTTACATTTGAAATATTTATTTAACATTTTGTATAAGTACCTTGTATCTTACATTTATATGTCTTTCTAGATGAATAGATACATAATCTATTCATTATTATATTTTTTCTGTGTTATACAGGGTTCTGCTATTATATATTAATTATTATACTGGAAATCTAAGAATTATTAGATACCATACGCTTTGTACTCTTACAAGAGAACATCCCGAAGTGATAATCAGCGATTATCGATGAAATTTTGGTATGTGATAGATCTCAAAAAAATATTCGACGCGTATTTTTTTATATCAGCAATCGTCCACAGGGAAGGGATGAAAATCGCCTTCAAAGTCGGAAATAGTGAACATATTTAGCCTAATATTTCGAAATCTACTAAAGATAGAGAGATGGTGTAAATTGACGAAATTTATATTTCTAAAAGCCTAATTTGAAAAACGTCCAAAGGCAGTACAATTGCACTGTTCACTATTTTGAACAACCCGGTCTAAACTCTGCGTGAATTATTTTGCGACAAGCGAGGAGCATCGATGAAATGAAAAAGTATTTTTATCATTCGAGAAGTCTGGAAACTTAGGTACCGGCCACGGGTTTTGCAAAGAGATGCAAGGTAAGAAAAGAGAAAGAGAAAAGAGTGTGTGTGAGAGAGAGAGAGAGAGAGAGTGTTGAAAGTTTCACGGAAGAGAACACGATTCGTCTGGTGGAAGGAGAGGGAAAACAATGGTCTCACGTTTTTCGAAATGCCAGAAAGAGCGTACAAGTGAACAAAAGGGGAAACAGCCAGCGGGCAAAAAGAAAAACGCTCGAAACGAACATATCGGCGCAAGGGGAGCATGATTCTTTGTCACTCGAGTTTTAAGAGTGACCACAAACAAAACGGGTTCGATCAATTTAGTCTCTCGAGCGAGTGCGTGCATTCGTTCGCCTCTTACTCGTGCTCTTGCACGTACGTACACGCACCATACACCGATCTTGCCCGTTTCACATGCACGAAACTCGAAATTCTCTCAATTCAGAAGCATTTCTCTAGCCCCAGAGAGGCGTTTTGTTGTTAGAATTGGGGCGGAGAGGAGGCCGACCGTTTTCGTAATGGCTCGTTGATTCGAGAGAATCGTCGTAAAAAAAAAAATCATACATACGTCTTTCTTTCATCGTTCCTCGTCGCTCTTTTTTATTCGTTCATAGGTACCTACTACGCACTCGTCAGACTTTTCGAACTCGAGCATTCTCCTCTGTTTCTCCATGTTTCATTCTCGAAGAAACGTGTACGCGACCAGACTCGAAACCTTGGAAAATTTCTTTCTAAATCTGCATTCTTGCAAGAAGAATCGAAAGATCTAGAGATCGTAAGATCGGAGTAGCGATTCACCGATCATTGCTGATCGTTTCGTCAAATTACGCCAGCAAGTTCGAGAAATACCTACAGTAGGTAACTGTGCAAAAGTCTTAGGTTATCATGTGAGATTTGCTTTATACTTGAATAAATCTTTAAATAAATCGTTACTATGCTATATGTAATATTCTAATAGTTTTATATAGGACCTTGCTGGATTTTCGGTATTGGACCTTTACATATCGATCACAAGATCTGAATACCGATTTGTCGTCGATGTCTCTGTCACGAGTGGTATGGTATTGTAAAATAACCTAGATATTTGTAAAACTAGTATCATCGTCCTGAAGAAGAAAAAGTTCTTTTAAAAACCCTAACTGCGCGAGTTCACTCGTAACAACATTGGTGGACAAAATGATAAGACACTATGCTACAAGTCCTGCTCGTTTATCAGTAAAAATACACCTAACAAATAAAGATCTACGTTGCAGTACATTCCACTATTTTTTATAATTCACGATGTCGTAAGATGTGCCAATATTCTTCCTTTTTTATTTCTTCTTTCAAATCTCTAGATTCTCCGCTTATCAGTAGATTTCTCTACTTCATGCTTAAAAATACACTTGAGAAACAGTGTTAAATTTTTGGAGCATTTCTCTTGAATTTTAAATGAATTGTAATCAACCTTCTTGTAATTTTCCATTATTTCACATTATCGAGGAGTACAATAGGATTGCGATCAGTTTTCTCCTATGAAAAGTTGCTTATAATTTTTTCCGCTTCGATCTACTAATTAATTCTTTTCACTAGATCCGATACTTTGTTGTCTATTTGCTTCGGGAATTTCGTTACTCGCGTCTCTCCGTCTCTTTCATTCCGCTTTCTGTCATTCGAGAATGCCTGAAGGCACGTCAGCAAATTTAAGTTGGACACGTACAACCGCGCGAACAATTCTTCGAGTACCTCGACGGCTTATTGGTGAGCACGAAGCCAGCCGCCCACCTATCTGTTTGATCTTTCGAGAGTGAAAAATATTTAAATGCTGCCGTTGCTGTTTTATACTTCACGCACTTGTGCGCATCGCCGCGTTTCTCGCGACTTTTCTCACGCAAACAGAATGAACATTTGACAGAAACACTTGCCGACACAAATTTTTTAGGAAACACTTGGAAACATTGGATTGAGCGGAAAGTTCGTGGCGATTTTTCATAGATGAGCCACTTGGAATCCAAAGTGACATTATTTTCTAGTGAGCGACTAGAGATAGCGATCATTTTTTCACGTGTCTCTTGAAACAATTACCTACTCAGTTTCTTTTCGGAGTTATAGTATTTTGAAGATGGAAGAAAATAGATTTTCGATACTTTCTTTAACCAAAAAGGGAGAAACACTACTGAAACAGCAAACGAAGTATCTAATGTTCACGGAGAAGGTAGTCTACCAGAAAAGATTGATCAGAAATGATTTGCAAAATTTAAAGATGAAAATTTCCATTTAAACAAGAAAAACTTTTCGACAAAGTGGAATTTTCAAATTACCAGGAAATGGCGAAATTTCTATAGTAAAGAAATTATTGCTTTAAAACATGGAATTTGAATATTTATTTACTTAAAAACTGGCACGAATTTTATTATCTGTGCTTATTAAACGACACGAGAAAATATCGAGAAATTCTGTTTCATCAGTTTTATTCAAAACCTGTTATTAACGTGGGAAATAAATTAGAAGATTAGATAATTGTGTGTTGAAACAGATTCGTGTTGTCTTGTGATGCCACCAAAAGTTGACGAAAATGTGAATTTCTTAAAGGGTCGTGTCTACACGTTTCTGGATTTCAAAAAGTTGATTTTTTCTACATATTTTGAAAAGTGCATACTTATCGCAGAAATATCTTAAGCCGAAAGCGAGCTCTAAATTCCAATTATTGACGAATTATTGCCGAAAACACGAATTACTGTGTTTCTTCTCGAAACAGCATTTTTCAAGATGGCGGGCGTGATAATTGCCTCACCGATTAACCGATCAACTTCATCTTTCACATTACATATTCTAAATAAAATTGGTTATCGGCTCACGGGAGCTTTTTTAAATAATTCGAACCATTTTCGAATAACAAAGAAAATGTACGATTTGTTAAATGAAAATTAAGTCTCTTATCTTCAAAATTAAGTCTCTTATCTCTTATCACCATTGCTGCAATTTTTTTCGAAGAAAAACCCATCTTGAGCCGAGAACTACGGTCTCAGAAAGTGTTTTGCGCTATTGCACGCAGGTGCTATATTTGCAATAATTTTCAATTCTTCATTTATTTCCTACTCTATAAATATGTACTTTTATTTGTATATAGCCTATCTATTGTGATTTTTGAACAATGAGAAGTCACGCGATACACAAATAATTTGAGAAATTACCTAATGAACTGAAATGTAAAGAATTGTATGACCGAGACCCTAATACTATTGTAATAATTCAAACTGAAGTAGAGTAGTAATTTATGCCCCAAACATTTATAATATAAAATATTATATGTTTGTATCACATGTCTCGTATAAATATAATAAGAATTTAAGTAGTACACTACACATATTCAAAATATTGCGTACAATCTCGATTAATTCGTGTTACAAGGTCAATTCATTAAACCAACAATAAGTGATCCCAAAAATACACTAAAATAATCGCGAACCCAAACCTTCTACAATTAATCAAAATCCCCACAAGCCTTTATAGTGTCCGAATATTTTTCGTCGTAACTCTAGATCGACGTGAGCTCCTTTTTTCTTCCTTTTAATGATTAAAACA